CCGTACATCTCTCTGTCCCCACCCAGAGAGAACAGAAATTCCGGATTCCTTTGGAGTCCTGTCAATCCCTCAGAATCCTCACGATTTAATATAATCAGCAGCAACACTTGCAACAAGCAGGCAGGTTCCATTTCAGAATCCGACAGGTAACTGAGGCTCAAGAGTCCCACAGCTGATCCCTCGGGCGATCAGGTGGCCCGTTTGCTACTCTTCCAGCAGGAAGGTCTGCTGGTATTCACGGCTCGGCGAACAGCGAGGAGGGAGAGAGCGCCATCCACCAGCAAAGGGGAACTCATCTGCTCCTCGATCTGGCATTCTGTTCACACGCACGCTGCCTCCAGGGGGCATCCAATTGAATAAACATGGAGATGGGAGGAAGGGCGGGAGCAAAGCAGCCGAGAGGATGCTGATTGCGGAAATAGCAGGTCCGCGGGTCTGGCAGAGTGGCTGTCAGCGGGACGCTGCCCCAACGTGGGACCCTTTGGGGGTGTGCGGGAAATGCCCCTTCAGACAGGTGCACTTTTACAGAGTAGTGGCTGCAAGTGGCCATTTACCTCCGCGCGTGCCTACCACTTAGCAGGCGCTGCACAGGGGTGCGCTGAAAGAACGCAAGCTTGCCCGGACCCCAGGTCAAGCAGCAGACACCTGGTGACAATACCACAGTGTGCCGGGAGGAGGAAACCACCAGCGTTGGGCAGCAGGTGCCATCTTAAGGCTGCCTTCCCTGACCGGGTGGGGTCTGTCCTGGGAACCCTTCGCCATGGGAAGGGCTGGGGTATGTGGATGAGCACGCTGTCTTTGTCAGGCAAAGCCTTAAGTCTCTTTTACGATGGCACTGAGCAGGCACCTGGGGAATGAACCCGCATCCAAAGCGCTCCATTTACGGTGTCCATGTATGTGAAGCCTAGCAGCTAGGAGGCCATGCCTCATCGACACTTTCGAACTCTCTTATCTCCCTAAAAACCTGCTTAATGCTCCAGAGACAGACACCCTGGACAGGCAACTCAGCACCTCGAATGAGGGCAAACCGCGGTGCCCATGGCAACCCCACAGTCCATCTACATTTTCATCAGGGAGATGGCCGGGCAGTTGTCACTATTTGTTCAGAACAAGAAGTTGCTGAAAGTGATAGTCTGTGGATTCCGCACGTCATAACATGTAATTCTTTAAGAGGTTTCTTTGTAAAGGTTTTGGTAACTCAATAAAATGAATTCTCCTTAAAATCTTGATCAGTCTGGATAACTAAAAGAGTTGCACTGATTGCAAAGATGGTGAGGTTGTATCACAGGTGAGGTTGCAACCTCCAAATAGGCAGAATCACTTGAAATGGCACACATACATAAAGGAGACCGATTACTCGTGGTGCACTTGAAGTTACATTTGTGCTGTTTCAATCATTAGTTCATCTCTCAGGACTACAATGGTTTTTAGATGGTCTGACACAGACCTCCCAAACACTAGTTCACAGTCACATACACAAATTAAAAGAAAAAAACCCAGGAAGCTTTGTGTAAATGAAATGTTCAATAAAGTACTAAGAATCAGGCTTTGAAAACAAGTCTAAGCTGGGATCTCTCTTAAGTGGATGCAAGTTTCTCACTACAACACGTATCAAACCAAACAATTTCAAAGGTCAGCCTCTCTGCGATGATCCTAGGCTGACACAGGTGTTGACCCTGTGTTCCCAGCAGCATATGCCAGCCAGCCCTTTCTCATGTAACTTCAGTTATTACAGGCATATACGGAAGCCTGTCCCTTCTCCTAATCAGCACGCTACAGCATGGATGGACATACAGGCCGAATGGAATGGCTCTTTGGTCCTCTGGAAATACTGATTAAGAAGCATATGGAGATGTCTGAATAGTCATACTCTCTCTCCCAATCCTACAGGCTGAGCTATTCGACTGCAGTCCCCATTAGGAAACCATCAAGTTCTCACAGGGCATCACCCACGGAGAACTTTCTCATTTCATCCGCCCGGGTAAAATAAAACAGCATAACCTAATGAACTCATACGTATGGCCTGGTAGGTTGGTGAGCCAATCGTATTGTACAGGCAGGTCCGAAACTGCTTTCTGTAGATGCCGCCTGGATTTTCAGGCCCAGGCCCACCCACAGGACGCCTCTCCTAACTCAAGTGGCTGTCAGCCGAGGGGTGCTCAGCAAAATCATCTCTGCAAGGGAGGACGCAGAAGAATTTGTCACTAGGATACAGTGACACCAAGTTCACATTTTGTGGTTAATAAAACAAGTCCTGCCTCCAGCTTGGCACGAGGCCCCGATCTGATTTATTTCAAGCCAAGCTGGAGGACCGAACAGGAAGAGCTGCCATTCATGAATGCTTCAGCAGGACAGGCCACCAGCGTCCCTCTCTGACTGACCTTTTGGGCAAACCAAGACTATTTCCTAAAGAGAGTTGAGGTTTTCAAAAATAATAATAATAATAATAATAGTTTTACCTACAGAAACTCATTTTCACCTGAAAATTTTCTCCAAAAAGTTTTCCTGTGGGGGGTGACCAAGGGGGGAGTGCAGGAAAAAAGAGAAGACAGGCTCAGATACCTGATTTCACCATCTCAAATATCAAAGGCTTGGTGTGGTTTCCTCCCTCCCATCCCAAAAATGTGATACACACAAGACTTTCCAGGGAAAGTCTACATTGAAGCCTACCTACAGCCTTCATTTCGGATTTCCTGCCCCAGTACTTAACTGCGAATTTTCATTCTAAAATGGCACACCTATCTCCTCAGAGAGCTCAGCTCTCTTTGAATAAAAAAGGCTAGGTGCCCTTTGAGGGACTCAGTATATATTTTTAAACTTCGTATTAAACCAATCTAATTTATGGGGCATGTTTAAGAAACACAGGGAAGGAGCTGATCTTGCAGATGCAAAGTTCATTTGCAAACTCTCGCAGACCACCCGCGACTCCCGCATCCAACTCCCTCCTCCCCGAGCATTTCCGAAAGCCTTCGGCCCTCTAAGCAGCAGCTCGGCTCTCTCCGCCCAGCCCCGACTGGGTTCCGAACACTGCCGAGTCCCTCCGAGCCCTTCGCCCAGCCGGCGCCGAGCCTTGCGGAGCCAGCGGAGCCGCCTAGCTGAGTCTCATCGACTTTTCTGGCCTCGGCTGGGCGCTGTCCACCACTCGCAACGCCTGAAACCTCACCCAGCTCCGGTAGCTGGGGCTTCTACAGGGCTCTGGGCCCGCCACTGCAGATTACAGACTCTGAAGTTTTAAAATGTCCCCCTTGGGGAGAAAGAGGTGGCTGTGCTTGCATTTATCGACCTGCAAGGGCTCCCGGCAGATGCAACATGCACCTTGTTGCAAAAAGCAATTCCCCAGGCTCCGCCTCCCTATGCATTTGGATTGCACAAGCTCCAGAGAAGCCCCAGGCCAAATTACCCGTGGCTCAGAGGGGTGCGGCGAGCCGAGGGGGCCTTTGCAAAAGAAAGCCCCAGGGCCCTCTCGAACTAAAATAAAACATGTTAAGCAGATGGGGAAAATTTTTTCCAAGCCGCTACTCCCTACCATCATGGCGCCGCCTAGAACCCGCTTGTCATGCCTGTTACACATGCAAGAATTTTTGCATCTTGTTTCTGAAACCGCAAGCACGCTTCGTCTCCCACCCACCTTCCCACGAAAGGGGTTTTTATTTTCCATTGTTTTCCTATGGGATGCAATTACTTCAGCTATTCTGTCAAGTTGAAAAATAATCATTTTTGTTTACTGCACAGCAACCCCTAATTAGGAGCTGTGTGTGCACGGAGGTGTCACAGCAAAGCGACGTGGAATCCTCGCTAAATGGTGTTAATGAACTCCGCCATCCGGAACTGACAGGTCAACGGAAGCAGCGGGGCCAGGAGGCTCCGGAGGGTGCACCCCTTCCCCGCAAGCCACCCCCTCCCCAAGCAAGCTGCCTGTGGGCTCACCGGGAACTGCCCTAGTGGATGGGGCAAGAAGTGAGCCTGAGAGTGGGAACGAGGGCGAGGCTTCTTATTGAGAAAGTGCGCAAGGGAAGGAATATCTCATTTTGTTTTAATTTTCCACCATCACTCAAATCCACCCCCAGTTAATTAGGAGGGGAAACTGATACGTGAGGCAGAAGGGGGAGGCAGCGAGTGGGGCCTTCAATCCGCATTGTCGGTAGATTGCACGGAGCACGGCCTATGCAGAGTGTAAATAAATACACTGATAAAGGCCATAGCAAACGAAAACTGCCGGTGTCAGGACAGCGAACGCTGGGGGAGTGGGGGAGGAAGGGGGGCAGCAAGGGGCGGGCATTCAGCCTCACAGCCAGCGTCCCCCTTCCACCTCTGCCTTGGATACACAGCTGTGCCAGTCACATCTGCTTAGGAAACCACCCCCTCCCCTACCGGACTCCCCTTCCTCGAACCCTCCTTCTCTTTTTCAGGGGAGGGGGGCAGAAACCACAACCTCCAATTCAGCACCAAATCCATGAACAGCACACACTTGATCCTCCACCCCAGCACTCTAGGGCTGGGTCCCCTCCATATTTTAACCAAGTTCAAAATCACTGCCCCAGGAGAAGAGCAAGGGAAATGGGATTATGGATGTGGAGTGCGGGTGGGGGGAGGAGGAGTGAGAGACGGGATGAAACAGAGACACAGAGACAGAAATGGAGGCTGCCATATGCAAGAAACACTCCACAAGCAGGAGTAATGATCATATAATCATTCCAATAGTGTGATGTTCTGATCAATATGGCGGACACTGTCATTCATACAACTACAGGCGCTCCCCGTCCCTCCCCCCACTATCCCCTCAAAATACCCACCCCGGGAGTTGGGGGTGAGGGACCCAGAATCAACGTAGAGTGGGGGAGGGGAGTCAAATCCAGGTGTGTGTGTGTGTGTGTGTGTGTGTGTGTGTGTACATGAATTAAAAACCGGGCCTGGAGAGCAGTGTGGAGTAAGCAAGGTAACACAAGTGATTAAAAAATATTCTTAATAAAAGTATAAATCCCAATGCCACAGGGACTTACTTCATCTGCTTCACAATGGTGCTTTTTCCTGATTCTCCAGCCCCTGTTGGGACAGAGGGGGGGAAAAACTGGTGAGTGTCAGTTTAGGGGAACGCGGTAGGGGGCAGAGGGGTAAGGCATGCGAGGGGGTGGGCGATCCTGGCACATGGTAGTGCCAAGTCGGGGACCAGGTCTTCCCGGGCGCGAGTGGAGTGGTGGGGAGCTGGCGGAGGGGGGATGCAGAGTGGCTGGGGTCGGGGGATGAGGGTGGCAGCCCGGTCCTTACCCAGCAGGAGTAATTTCACGTCTTTGGCGGCGCTGATGCCATCCTCTTTGAGGTTTTTCTCAATCGCCTTGCTCCGCTCGAGGGCGGCTCTCTCTTCTGCGCTCAGAGTACATCCCATGGTGGCCCCTTCCCTGCCACAGCCCGCACGACTCGGCTAGCAAGGCTCCCCGGCTCGGCGCGCCCCCCACCCCCCCAGAGAGCAGAGCCTAGGCTCAAAGGGGGAAAAAAAATCACGATATCTTCCCCTTGGCTGAAAACAAAAATGTCGGTAAACCAGAACCCCCCAAAAAGACAGCCGCTGACAAGATTCTAGCAGCGGAAACTCGCGACAGCTGGCGGGGCTCTGGGGGTGTTGAAGCGAGGGTGGCCGGGGTCTGGGGCTCGGGAGCCGAGGCAGGAGGCGCCCGCAGTCCGAGGAGGCGCGGGCTGCAGGCACGGAGGCTTGTGCACAACCCAAAATAAATAAAATAATAGTCGAGGCAGGAGCCGCAGCCGGAGCCCGCGGAGGGTGGGGTGGGGGGCAGGGTGGGTCCTTCTGCCAGTGCTGCCGGAGGAGGAGGAGGCGGCGGCGGCGTGGGGTGTGGAGGGAGTGAGTTAGGGGGTGCTGCTAGTGCATGTGCATCGCCGATCCTCAACCGTCGGTGCGTCCGCGGCGCCTTCGCCGACCCCCGCGCGCTGGGCAGGGATGGGCAGGGGGCCGGCCCCGGGGGCAGGTCTCTAGCGGGAGGCGGCGTCGCTGTCTCCCAGAGATCGCATCGCTCGGTGGAGCCTACCGAAGACGAGGAGAGGGCGAGGGAGCCGCGGGCAGCCAGGAGCTCTCCGGGCAGAGAGGGAGCGAGAGATCGAGGCCGGGAGGGAGGGGAGGAAAAAAATGAAGGGGAGATCAAGCGCGCGCTCCACAGCCCGGGCGGGGGAGGGGGCGAGCGCAGCGCGCGAGTGCGCCAGCGGCTCTGCGCACCCCACACAGCCGACCGCCCGCTGACGTCAGCAGAGCCTCGCGCCGGGCCCCCGGGACGCGGGGGGGCGGGGGCGGGAGGGGCGCGCGCGCGCGCGCGCGGGCCCGCGTCAGCTGGCGGCGGCGGCGCGCACGCGCGCGGTACGACCGGCCCACCCCCGGCACCTCCCCTTCTCCCCGGGCCGCGGCTCCCCGGGGTGGTCGTGTGCGGACCCTGGCGAGGGCGGGGCCCGTCCCCGCCCGGAGCTGTCGCCGCGCGGGCCTTCCTGTCAGTGGAAGCGGCCGGCGGGGCGGCCGTCAGGTGGGCCCCCGGGCAGCGCCCCGCGCCGCCTCAGTCCCTCTCCGGCTTCCTCTCCATTTTGGCTCCAGCGGCTCGCCTTCTTGGCTGCTCTGCTGCTGCCGCTGCCGCTGGGGCCGTCGCCGCCGAGGCCGAGTGACCTCAGCTAACGTGACGAGACGGGGTCTGAGGAAAGCTGCGTCCCGGATAATTCACCCTTGAGGCGTCGGGGCTGATTCGGGTTTTTGCTCTCCCTGCGTCCCACAAGCATTTATTGAGCACCTAGTATGGCCGTGGGGCGAGAGGAACACAGCAGGATGCGAGAAGCCGGGGCCTGCTCCCTGAGAGCCCCCTTTGCCACCGCCACCCCGCCCCATGATTCCCGGCCCCGGGGTCCGCGCAGGGGACAGTTGCCACCGTGGGAAGCTGTGGGAGGGAAGCGCGGGCTTTCCTCAGAGTGAGCTTCTAGCAAGTGCTTACTCCCTCAACGCAGAGTTGAGACGCGTTTGCACGTTTTAGCTTGGTTGAGGTCTTCCCACCGATTTCCCTTGTTCCGCCCCTTCCCAAAACGCCAAGTTACAAAATGAATTTTGAATAGATTTTCTTTTTTTCCTCCTCTTAAAAAAAAAGTCCCCCCCCCCCATCTATTTTATTTTTCAAGTCAAGACCCAGAAACGCGGGTCAATTACTCAGCGTCCTGAGGAAACGTGCACATGTGCCAAGCATCGGCCATGTTCTGGGTGGTCTCCGAGGTTTTGGAGAAACTAGTTCTCACTGCGCGAAATTCAGTCCCACCGCACGGCCCCGGGGGACCTCCCGAAGAAAGGGGCCAATAGGAAAGGTTGCTTGGGGACAGGAGAGGCAAGCGGCCAGTGGAAAACGTTTTTTTCCCCTAACAGTTGGGCATTTGTGTGACTGTGAAAGCAAACTTGTTTGTTTCATGTTAACAATAGAAAAAACACACCCCTGTTTTGGAAACGATACCCTGCATAAAAAATACATTTGCGGTGGGGGAGGGGGGCAGTTCAGGCCCACCCGGAAGAAAATGTTTTATCCCTGAATTTTTTTTTTTAATTTGTTATTTTCCAGTATGGGTTTGCCTCATCCTATGGATAGGTATGTCAAAAGCGGTATGCAATGGAATTTTAGTATTTAAATTTGAGGCACATTTTACTTTGCTAGGAAAAGGACGAAGGGCTCACGAAGAATTGCTTTATAAAGTAAATAACTTCTTCCCCACCCCACCCCACCCTCTCACCTTCAATCCAGTTTTCTTTAGTGTGTATGTTTAGAGCAGGGCTTTAGGGGATAAATCTGGCTTGCTTAAAATTAGGGTGTCACTAAAAGTCAGCTTTCAGATCCAAAACAGAGCGGAGGTACCCAACATTCTATAGAATTTGTTATTTCCTCGTTGGTTTACTAGGACAATTATAAATTTACTAGGATTCCCAGCAGACAGAGGGGAAAAACTCAGCAACCTCACCGAGATTCTTCTATCCCTGCAAGACTACGTCTGAGACACTGAAAAGGTAAGAATATGGCCATTTCTTTGGGGGTGGTGGGTTATACTTTATATTTTAAATATTTGATGTTTTATGCTTCATACTTTATATTCATGTCAAGTGATTTTTAATGTAAGATCTAAGCTGTTGGGCATTGTGGCTTGTATGGTTGAATCAAACTGTCCTTGATTTTAGGTGTGTCCATTCCTTCTCGGTGTCATACCTGGTCGGGTAGAGACGCAGACCTGTTTTGTGTGTGTGTGTGTGTGTGTTCACTCAGTACCTACCCATCGCCTACCTGCCATGGACAGAGTAATGTTCTAGGCACTGTAGATGTTGCATTTCAGGTTTGTCTACCCTGCTTTCTTTTTCTGGGTCACTTTGCATCTTTACAGTTGGGCTTCGTAAAACACTAATAATCCGCTTCGTCTGAAGAGTGCTTTACAGCTTACAGAGCACTCTTGTAAAAATGATCTTATGTGATGCTCTCACATAAAGCTAGGTTAGCCACTGTGGTGTGGGGAGCGTCGTGGCTGAGTGGAAAGAGCTAGAACCATGAGTCCGGATTGACCTGGCTACCCATTTTACAGCTGAGAAAACCGAGTCTCTGGGGGGCGGCGGATAACTTATTCAAGGTCACGTGGTCATTAACTCATGTGCCAGGGTGCCTTTTACAGATTCATGGGCTGTTTGAGAAAGAACATGTTATATCAACATATAAACCATGCTTCCTAGACTCACAGAAAGCTCCCAGCCGTAGAACCTGATTGTATTCTGGTCCCCGCAAAGGCAGTGAGGTTGAGAACATCCCAGTTCTCGTGAGTTATTAGTAACTAGATAATAGCATAATATTTGTCCACAACTAATTCCTGTGGGAATAGGGAAATTACAGTCCTAACATCAGGAAAAATCAAATTTCTTTGGTTTTATTTTATATGATCTTTAGTTATATTTCTCTGATTATTGCTGTGGGCCAGAGAATAATGCTCACTCCGTTCTCAATCAGCTTTCCTCCTTGCCCCCACAACATCGTTCAACGTATTTTTAATATTAAAAGGTAATTAGAATATTTTATGCGCTCTCTAAAAGAAATAATAGGAAAAGCCTACATGAGGTTGCTTTTTCACTACACGCGACTCCTAATTCAGGAGGAAGAAATTTGTGATAAAAACCCCCCAGCTCTGACCGACAGAATGTGTGCTACCTACCAGGAGGTGAGCTGACTTTCCCCATTTGTTCCTTTGTGTTGTCACCTTAGTTAAATATGCGCGCATCGACAACCTACGGTGTTTAATAGATCGATTTAAACTTAAAGGCAATGACAGGTATGAGCTTGGATTCTTGAAGTCTTGAAATCCCTGGAATGTCTTCTCAGAACCATTCACACCAGAATCAGCTGCGTGCGTGCTGAGGGTTCAGTTACCTGTCTCACCCCGTCGGACGCTCCTGCAGTCTGCGTTGATAACCATGCCCCAGGTGATTTTTCTGCACGCAGTGTGCGAGGGCTCGTACAGAATCTGTGTGGGCCAGCTCATTCTGCTGGGAGTCCGCTTTCTTCACGTATGAATGTCGCACATGCTTCTGGATTCAACTTCTAAAAAATTTTTAACCGGGTTTTATTTTTTTTTTGTATTTCTGTCAAAGGAAAAAATTGTGAAAATCACTATGCCTTACGAACACTACTGGCATGGGAAGAAAATAAGCTAAAATGTGTGGTTCGTGAGCCAAACGAAATCAAACTAAATGTCAAGTGCATTAGGCATTTTCCGAAGAATGGTAGACCACTAGAGATTTTCGTTTTCCGCACTAAGGGTTTCTGGTATGAAATGGATAGCTCACAATTTAACTTAGTGGCGAATATAATTTAGAAGAATGTCCAAGTAAGACTAGGAGATGGCTTAGTGTTTTGTGATTACTACCTGGTGTTAATGAGGGAAGGTGCTGATCAAATGTTTTTTGTGTCCCTAGAAGACAGGGCCCCTGTTTAGCCCACGTCCAGCATTTCTCTGACTGCTATTCTTTTGTACATATCTCTCAGATGTTCTTCAAATGTTTTTTGTGCATAAGAATTACCTGGGATGCTTTTTAAAATATTAATTCCTGGGTCCTACCCCTAGACTTTCTGAATCAGTAAGCCTGAAGTAGATAGAACCTGGACATGTTCAGTTTTACAATGAGAGCTTCTCCCCCAAGTGATGACTGGTCTGTAAACTGCTTTGAGGTAAAGGGGTTGTCTTATCACTTTGCATATGTCCCAAAAGGCCAAGCATGGCCCACGGTCCACGGCATCCTTTTTAATTTCAAACTAAATGCACCTGTGTATAGGCAAGGGCTCAATCAGACCGCGTGTCTAAGTTCTTCCCAGCTCTGAGCCTTTTTGATTTTTCTCATAGAAATTTTGTGACTAAATGATTCCAGAAAAAGTTGAAGATTGGGAGAGTTCAAAGAGGTAATGGCTTGTTTTCAAGGAAGGTTCTGAGGAATGAAACGCTCGCTGATTTTAAGCACACAAGTGAGAGATTTATTGGCATTTGGGAGCATGCAAGAAGAGTGTTTGCCAAATGTTTTTGAAGTGCCCGTCAGAAAATTCCTTGCTAAATTTTGTATCTGATTTATTGTTTTGTAGAGTTTATGAAAAAAAAACAAAACAAATAGTTTCTTTGTTTATAATTGTTAGGAATCAAAGATGCCATGGGAAGGAAAAAAAAGGTTTTGTCTACTTTTAAATGAAGAAACTTGAATGAAGGGACAGATTAAGGCTTGTAGGTAATTGAATTGAGCTCTTAAGTTATGGAAGTCCATTATGTGGTCACTCTTAAGAACTTTAGTTGTGCTTTGATGGCTCGCGAACTCCAGAGAGGGTGTACTTTGTGATTTTTCTCAATTTAGGATAGCGAGAGAATTCCACACGGGTGCATTCAGCTTGAATTGAATGGAACGTTGGAGGGGGCTAGGATTTGTGCTTTCACATTGCTGAGATTGACCAAGGGCTGAAACTGAAGTTGGAAACTTAGCTTAATAAGAAGGCGTTACTTAGCAGCCATGGCCCCTGTTGTAATTTCCTTGAAAAGTCTTTCATTAGAAACCAAGATGCTTATTGATGGGAATAATAGTACTTTTCAACCTACCTGGGCTGGCATTGGCAGGTAAGGTTAGCCGGTACGTGTTTGTATAATGTTTATTTATTCCTTATTAAGTCCTCCAGAAGACAGATCGCG